ATCTCTTGTTTTCTTTGCGTATCTTACTCTGCAGACCTATCCGAACTTTGCTTTCGATCGATGTCTACACAATCATATTTTTATACTATTAGTATCCCATTGATATACTATAATCTATAATTTCTTATACTGAAAGAAAGATTTATTCCATTTCTCATTAGAGTGCATCGGTACATTCTACCATGTATCAATGCATCCCTTAACATGTGCATCGATGCACTACCCATGCATCGATACACAAATCACCTTCGATGTTTTCATTTTAATGGGGTGCATCGATGAACTCCTTATGCATTGATGCACTAATGGCATTCGATGTTCATTTATTTGATAGTGCATCGATACACATTGAAGATGCATCGATGCACACAACCCAGAAATTATATTTTGAGCTCAAAAATTCTTACTTTGCTCTCAAATTCTACTTATTAATCCCTCTTTATACCTTAAAACTTATCTATACATATGTGAACCTTCTTATAACACTGTAACACTTCATCATCTCTCATAATTCACCAAAATTCTTGAATCAAAGAATTTCATCAAATTTTCCATGTGTTCTTAGTTCAACTCTATCACCTCTAACTTCTTAATTAACCCTTTGACAAGTCAAATCCATCATTAGAACTTCAAAAACCTTTCTATAACAAAAGTTCATTTCTAAACTCTTAATATAAATTCCTTTCTAATTCTCTATTCTTGGTGTTTTAAACTTATTTAAGCTTTCCTTAAGCTTATATAACACCCAAAGAATCAAAACCTACTTATAAATTCAAGAAATCAACACTAAAATCAAACTTACCCTTAACAATGGAAGCCAACGTGAAGAAGAAAAAATAAGCTTTCCAGAAAACTCTCCCCATCCCCACGTGTTATCTTCCTAAAAAAAGGAGATAAATTATCTTCCAAGCCAAATTACCATAATAACCTTATAATCCTTTCATATTTACCCTTTATCCAATATTAAAATATTCTTATAAAAATCCTTAAACTTTTCAATTTCCTAAATTGATCCCCAAATTTCAAAAATTCTCATTTTAGTCACTGAACCGGATTTCGGGATGTTACAAATCTCCCCTCCTTTAAAGAAAATTCTTCCTTAAATTTTCACTTTACCTTGAGATGAAACAATCCTTTATAATACTCAACAATTCTTATCTTACCCTTACTATTAACCTTATACTCATATACAGTTCTCATTCGATACTCAATATATATATATATCTTTCTTACTCATTCCATAAACAACCTTCATACAACTTATTTACTTGGAAATCATATACTATTAATTCTTAACAATTCATTATTTCTTGCTTCTACTCAAATCTTCCAATTATATTTCTAATTACCACTTACTGAATAATATGATGATTCTTAAATCTATTAAAACCAAACTATTTTACCACGATATCAAAATTTACCTGCCAAAATCTCTGGGTCATCAAAATCTTCATCAACCCTTAAATTATAAACTTGGGTAATTGGTTGCATAACATGTTGAGTGAATAACTCTGATCAATTTCTTCTACGACCTCTACCTCTATTTCTTTGCGATACTGCTATAGATCTTTCTCTCTGTACTGTCTCTTCAGCCATAAGTGGACAGTATCGAATAAAATATCCAACATCACCGCATCTAAAACAGGCTCCTGAAATTATTCTACACACTCATATATGATTCTTTCCACAATATGAACATTGCCTGACTTGGCTGAGATTTGATCTTCTATCAGTAAAACCATCTGATTCCAATATTTCCTGAGTTGGAGAATCCCATTCTCTATTTTTCTTTGATGGCGAGGAACTTGACGAATCACCATTCTTTTGGACTTCTGAACTTTATGTTCTTTAAATCTTTCATTCTGAGCTCTCTCTAGAGATTTAGCTCGATTAACCACTTCTTGAAACGATGACAAATTCAAGGCTATCAACAACTCTCTTAGCCTAGGGCGCAAACCCTCCACAAACCAGTCACACACATCCTTCTCAGTCGGAATAAGTTCAGCAGCAAAACGACTTAACTTATTAAACTCACATTCATATTCATACACTATATAATTCCCTTGTTTCAAATTCAAAAATTCTTGCTTCATCTGCCTGATATATTGATCACCAATGTACTTACGCTTGAATTCTTCCAAGAAGAATAACCAAGTCACTTGATCACTTCTTAATCTCATGGTGACATTGGTCCACCATATTCTAGCTTGTCCCCTTAACAAAGAAATTATTCCGTCTAATTTCTCCACATCAGAATAGTGGAGTCCATCTAACATTATCTTGACATCATTCAACCAAAAATCCGCAGCAACCGGATCTTCCTCAGCTTCACCCTTAAACTCAGGTGCTCCTAAACCTTTTAATTCCTTAGCTATATTCATTCGAGGAGCTGAGGGCGCAGAGGGTTGAAAACGTGACAAAACAACATTTAACGTCCCGAAAAATATCCTTTGATCTCTCACTGATACTACTGGAGGTGTTCGCTCTTCACCATGCCTGGCCAGGGCAGGTGAATTGCTACTACTCTCAGGTCTATTACTTCTCCTTTCACTGCGAGGACTCTCACGATCATACATCTAATACATAACAATATAACTTTATTAGAAGACAACATACTCATGACTCTATCAGATTAGAAACTTTCACTTTGTGTTGGCATGTACACCTTTTCAAAAATACTTTTGACTTTGGTTTAAGCCTAGAATCAGCTAAACCTTAGCTCTGATACCATTAAATATAACACCCCCAACCTGTACCCAATCCGGATACGAGTTCGAGGTGTCACATTGACCAGTCAAAGCATATACTTTTATAAAAAAAATACCATAGAAAATTTAAAACTTGTATTATATAAAGTAATTCTTTTACTTAAACATGTTTAAAACCTTAATAGACTCCATCAGAGCGTACATATATAATGACTTAGTTACATGCCAACATACTAAATTATATGACAAGACATATTTTACAAAATATTTCTGATCTGAACTTTACGCGGAGATATGCTGCTTTACGGATACAAAACTTGATCTTCTTACTGATCCACACCTACGTGTAAGACACTTACACGCTAAGTCATAGACTTAGTGAGACATGTAAATACATAAAGTAAACTAACAAATGCATGAACATCTTAGGTAATACATATTATACTTATATACATATTGAACCCATCACTTACAGGTTTATCCTTACTTATTTCCTTGTCATTAATTCAATTCCATCATATGAGCATATATTGAACATAAACATATAATATAACTTCAAAACACAACAATACATGAATAATTACTATGATCATATCATACATAACCATATCACATCTCATATCACTATTACACATATGCACTTGTTACCATTATTATCATATGATCCTAACTTATCACTTATACCTATCACATATCACATGTACCATTTCATGAGAAACACACATATCATTATATCAAATTATGGTTTCTTTTCAAAGCCCATGTACACTATTGAGAAATTAAGGTATGTGAGTATATAGAGGTTGTGCACAATGCTGTCACCATAGCTCATATAAATAGGGGCGCGTAGAATTTGTCCCGAATGACCACTGTGTCCCGAAGGATCACTATGTCCCGAAGGACCGCGTAGACCCTCGAATCTTGGTATGCCAACTCTACCTATAGCTCTCGTATTATATAACATGGGCATTATTATTTATCTTTTTACATATTCACGTAGGCACATAGTTCACTTTCACATAGCATATTTCCATGTAATTTACATTCATTATCACATAGCTTTTATTTTTACTTGTATTCCTTTTCACATAGTTCATAGCCATGATTCTTATTTCATAACACATGTTCGCATATACATGTTCTCATACAATCCCTTCATTCAATTATAACATCTAATCTATCTTATTATACTAACATGTATTCATATAATTCATTTCACATACATAACATATATTTTATCATATATCTCATGATCACATGACCTATTATCATAAATACATGCATTTACATAGTTCACACATAAAGATGCATTTAAAAATTAGACATATGCATTTACTCATATATTATACATCTAACACCATATCACTACATGTTTATGCTTTAGTACGTATATCATATAATATTGGAATTAGACTCATCGCAATTCTTAATTCCTTAACATAACGTACATTTACTATCATGTACTCACCTGGTCTCAATGAACACTCTTAAGCTCTTGTTTTCTTTGCGTATCTTACTCTACAGATCTATTCGAACTTTGCTTTCGATCGATGTCTACACAATCATATATTTATACTATCAGTATCCCATTGATATACTATAATCTATAATTTCTTAGACTAAAAGAAAGATTTATTCCATTTCCTATTGAAGTGCATCGGTACATTCTACCATGTATCGATGCATCCCTTAACATGTGCATCGATGCACTACCCATGCATCGATACACAAATCACTTTCGATGTTTTCATTTTAAAGGGGTGCATCGATGCATTCCTTATGCATCGATGCACTAATGGCATTCGATGTTCATTTATTTGAGAGTGCATCGATACACATTGAAGATGCATCGATGCACACAACCCAAAAATTATATTTTGAGCTCGAAAATTCTTACTTTGCCCTCAAATTCTACTTATTAATCCCACTTTATACCTTAAAACTTATCTATACATATGTGAACCTTCTTAGTCAATCTCACTTACCTTCTTCATTCTCCAAGAAATTTCGAGTTTTTAACACAAATGATTCATTACTAAGTGAATCATCCCCCAAACTTTGTGTTTGTATATCCCCCAATTAAAGGCCCGAAGGATATAGAAATGACAGTTAAGTGTGCTTTGTTTCTGCATTGTCAATTAACCATTTAATGAAGTTTTTGTTGGTTAAACATTCAAGGCATTTTGTTTTTTCTCAAGTAAAAAAAGCCACAAGAAATATTAGTATCTTCTTGTCCACATTCAAGCCACAAGTAATAAAGTTGCTGTTTTTGTTTTCTTGTGGGTGCCAACACTGTTACATGGCGGAGTAATTGAAGACATTGACAAGCAGATAATCCCATAACACCTTCAATAAATTCTGAAGCGATCCGTCGACACTCGACAGGCCTGCAATTTGTTCTGCTCTCTTCTCATGGCGGAGTCCCTTCGAAGGTAGCTGTTTCTTTGATGGCGGTTTTGCATTTGTTATATCTTTAACCCCCAAGCGTTTAACATTTTTCGTATTCTTCTTGTGTCAGATATGCGGTTGTCACCGGGGCGAACAAGGGGATTGGACTGGCCATATGTAAGCTGTTGGCCTCTGAAGGGGTCATGGTGGTCTTAACTGCTAGAGATGAGAAAAGGGGCCTCGAGGCTCTCGAAAAGCTGAAACACTCTGGTCTCTCTGATCACCTATCTTTTCACCGGCTGGATGTGACGGACCCTGCTAGCATCACTTGCCTGGCAGATTATGTGAAAAACAGATTTGGGAAGCTTGATATCCTGGTATGAACCAAACTTCTGTGGCAAATTAGCTGCTCTATTTTTTTACTATGTATGTAGCTGCATATCTCTTCAGCTTGATGAAGACATATTCTTGAATTTGACATAAGGTCAATAACGCTGGTATAGGCGGAAGTACAGTGAACCATGATGCTTTAAAAGACGCAAAAATTTCTGGCAATGAGGTAATTAAGCCATTAGAAACAATTCTCTTTACAGTTTGGAAAAGCTTAAATCTTTACTTTGGCCAGAAACTCGCAAAACCTTAAATGTTGGTTTATATATTTGATGATTACTACATTTAATGTGATCAGGAAAAACTATAAATGATCCCAAGTATTCGTCTTCAATTCGAACAAGTACCCTTTCGAGATGTTCGAACTGGTGCAAGGCGTTTTACTTATTATTGTTCATCCCCGAATCCCTTACCAAAGTTTCTCATACAAAAATGCAGGCAGACCTGCAAGCCGTTTGGAGTAAAGTTCTGATTGAAACTTACGAGTTAGGGAAAGAATGCATTGAAACAAACTACTATGGTGCTAAAGCTACGTCGGAAGCGCTTATTCCTTTACTCCAGTTATCTGATTCTCCAAGGATTGTTAACATTTCCTCTTCCATGGCCAAGTTAAAGGTAAATGTATTGATCTGTCAGGCCAGCTTGAGAATAAGGACTGAGTCAAAACTCTGAATGCAGAATAACTAAACCATACTTTCTTGAATTTGTCACAGTATATACCTAGTGAACAGCGCAGAGGGGATTTAAGGGATGCCGATACAGTAGAGAAAATCGATGGGTTCGTTGCCGAGTTTCTTAAGGATTTTAAGGAGGGTTCGTTAGAAAGCAAGGGTTGGCCAACTTTTCTCTCGGCCTATACAATCTCAAAAGCAGCCATGAATACCTATACAAGGATTTTGGCCAACAAGTGCCCAAATTTCTGCATCAACTGTGTTTGCCCTGGTTTCGTCAAAACAGATATAAATAACAATACCGGTCACTCGACTCCCGAAGAAGGCGCAGCGATTCCGGTCAAGTTAGCGCTCTGGCCGAGCGGCGGTGCCCCTTCCGGCCTCTTTTTCGTTCAGGGTGAACCATCATCATTTGAATGAAACTACTGATAAAAGAATCAAATCCCGTCAAAGAGGCTGCATGTGAACTCAGTTCAGGATTGTGTCTTCATCATTGATGGTGTAATGTTCCATTAAATTTAATGTTCATGCAAGTGGAAAATGTTCTAAAATATTTATGGTATGTCATTATTGTGAGTTTCTTTGTTATTTTCCGATCAGATAAGCAAGGTCAATGTCTCAAGCAATAATACGTTGATGCTTCCATTCATTTGTTTGTGTTGAAATCAGAGAATTAGCGGGAGACAAAAAGAAGAGAAAGTAGAGAGAATTAAATCAGTGTTGTGAATTGCAAAAGATGACTATTTCTATACAAGAATAGGGAAAGAACAGTTAAATGTAATTCCTAATCATAAGCTAATTAAATAAAGAAATAAGTCCTAAGAATACGTTTGAATATGTTGATAACACTCCTCAAGTTGGTGCAAAGATGTCTTGTATATATAAGGATGAAATTTTAATCGAACTCGATGGGTTTCGATTCATCTTATGGGGTTAGGTTTTTAATGAAGACATCTGAGAGTTGCCTGTTCGATGTCTCAGGGACTACTTAATTCTTGTTGGCAGTTGCGTGGGGATTTTGGTTTTAGGATCCAACATGAAATTTGTTTTTGATTTTTAACTGAATTGAAAGATTAGATTTTTACAAGGGCAATTTTTGTAATTATTGACATTCAGCTTATTATTGTTTTAACTTCTGTTTTTGAACTTTTGTATTTATGTTATAAGTTCATCATTTCTTGTATTTTACTCAAGTTATCAACAACATTAAGTGATGGAGCATATCTAAAAAAATGCTAGTTAACACTAAAGTTTTTTTTTAAAAAATCATGTTTTAGTGGTAAAAGAGAATGTTGATCTCTTTGGAGGTTTTGAGTTCGAGCAATAACGTCTGTAGTATATGTGCGTTGTAAATAAGTTAAAAAAATTCTAAACAGATACTTTCTTGTAATCACCCTAACTATTCAAAACAAGAATTTTAAATAATTTTTATCGATTACTTTGATTCTAAAATTTTACATAATTTTAAAATAATTCTAAAATCAATCCATTCGTAGAATAATAGGTCAGTTTAAATTTTCTTTTTAAAGAATTTTGATAGATTACTTTGATTCTAAAATTTTACATACTTTTAAAATAATTCTAAAATCAATTCATTCTTAAAATAATATGCCAGTTGATGAATTATGTTAGAATAATATGTCACTTGATAATTGGGTGGAAGTTTCGATTCCCAAACAAAATCACCCCAAGAAACACCTTTGAATGCTTTGTTCAACTTCACCAATTTACATATCACTAGCGGATTCAAAGACTTAATAATTGTAGCCACACAACCCTCCGACAAATCCCCCAAACTAAGTGATGTAGATGAAGAATCAGATGATAAACAGTTGACGATAAACAAAGCAGAGAAATTGACACCCATCGAAAGAAAACCAAAAAAAATAGAGAACTATAGAGTTCTAAAGCAAAGTATTTATTTTATAAAAGAGTGGGAAACAGGAACAAAGAGGTGGAAAACATGAACTCATGTTTGGTATTTTAAGAATTTTTGTTTATTGTTTATGAGTTTTTTGTCTATTATTTATGTTTGATGATGAAAAAGAGCGATAATAAGACAGGAAAGACTTGTGTTTTCTTTTCTGACGGTTTATAGAGGAAAGCTGTTGGGTTATATATTAATGGTGATAGCAGCGTTGACATAAATGAGATTGTAGAAAGACATGAGACTCGATTAGAGGCAATAACAGGATTAGGGGCGAAAGTTGAGGTCGAAGACGTTGAGAGATACGGCGGAGAGTGTGTGAAGGAGAGAATAAAAAGCAAGTAAAGGAAAGGAGAACAAGGAACGCGGTGATAATAGTGGGGTGACCGGTATTAAGTAGTCAATGGTTTAGATAAGTATTTAACAGTCCAACTAAGCTTTCTTGTCACTTAAATGAACAGTTGTTAATATCAAATGATCAATTTATAACAAACAATAACGTTAGTGATATATTTATGACTTTTAAAATATTAATGATGAGAAAAATTTAATTAAATATTAGTGGTTATTTATATAATTTACCCTAAAATTAATGAAAATGTTGGTAATTTTATGATGTGATGTGAAGAGTGAATTTTTGGAGTGAACTTGGATGATTAGATACCACAGCACAGATATTTTAGTACTTTTCTGGAACTTTTGTATTTAAGAATTGTCTGATGAGCTAATAAGTTCACCACGTTCAAATTATCAACAAAACGGCCGCATTCTCATTTCCTTGTAAGTCTCACGTGCATAATTTTAATATATAGTTAGGAAATATATTATGGGGTTTTTTTAATATTTTTAGTAAATAATTATTTAAAATATTATTATTATTACAAAAAATATTATTATTATACGTTTTACTGTCCTCGTTAATATATCTGATAAATTGCTATCTAAAATATTATTTTTTTCTATCGAAAATATTAATATCAAACATTTTAATAGAAATATTAAAAAATATTAATGTTTTAAGTAAAACAATAATGTTTTATATAATTTTTTACTAAAAATATTAAAAATTAATAATATTTTCTATAATTTTTTTTTTAACCGTATACTTCACTCATTTCCACTTCCTCTAATTTCTCCACAACATCAATGGCGGAGGTACTGTTCTATTTTTTCCCATCGCGTAAAAGCCACATCTGTTGAGTTTTTGGACCATTTGTGTTTAATTTTCTTCTTCAGATATGCAGTGGTTACCGGTGCGAACAAGGGGATCGGATTGGAAATATGTAAACAGCTGGCTTCTAAAGGAATCACGGTTGTTTTAACCGCTAGAGATGAGGAGAGGGGTCTTGAAGCAGTTGAGAAGCTCAAAGAGTTCGACCTATCGGATCGTGTAGTTTTTCATCAACTCGATGTTGCAGACCCTGATAGTGTCGCTTCTTTGGTGGAATTCATCGAAAAACAATTTGGGAAGCTTGACATCTTGGTATTATTTCACTTCCAGTTTGCTGCAAAATTCTCAGATTTTGATTGAATGATGAGAGATGGAGTGTTGTCACTTTTGTACAGGTGAATAATGCAGGGATTATTGGCTTCAAAAGCGATAATGGTGAAGCTCTTCTAGCTGCAGGTTTTGGTAAGGTAGATTCCTCTGAATCCACTTGCTTTCTATATAAACCAGAGTAGAGAATTCTCTGTTCAAACTCATAGCTAATATTTGAGAGAATCAAAGGCGAAATAAGTAGGATAGTCATGGTTGGGATCAGGGTTTGGGCTATCCGAATTCAATCCAAAAATTAAACCTCTTCACGTGTATCTAACTTGACCTGAGTTTTGACGAGTCTAACCCAATATAAAATCCGATCTATGTATATATATATATATATAATTTATTTTTACTAAATAAAATAAGAACTGAATTAAAAAAATATAAAAATAATTATTGTTGTAATTATTCTTAAATATATAAGAATAATTATATTATATCAGATTAGGTCAAGTTAATTTTTTTTATCAAATCAAGTTAAATCAAACTGTCAAAAGCCGTAGGATCCAGATCAAATACCCATGCCTAACTGGAACCCAAAATTCACGAGTGGGGTAGTTTAATAACTCAAACACCAGAGTTACCCTAGCAATGCTTTCAAAAATGACTACTACGGCGCCAAAAGAATGTGCGAATCGCTTCTTCACCTTCTCCAGCGATCCGATTCACCGAGAATTGTTAACGTGTCGTCTTCCATGGGGAAGTTAAAGGTAAGAACATGGTCAGTTGTTGGTACCATAGCTTTCAGCCTAAATTTGTTGCAGAAGCCAATGATGAAGATCAAGATACATAAGTATCCTACAATGATCAAATGTTAAATTAGTTTGTTTACTCGTTGGGATCAGAATGTATTGAACGAATGGGCGAAATCAGTCTTCAGCGACGTCGAAAATCTGACGGAAGAGGAAGTGGATGAGGTGTTGAGCCAGTATATGAAAGATTTCAAGGAGGGGTCATTGGAACAAAAGGGTTGGCCCGCTTTCTTGTCAGCCTACATACTATCTAAAGCAGCCATGAATGCCTACAAAAGGATCCTGGCTAAGAAATATCATAATTTCCTCATTAACTGTGTCTGCCCCGGCTTTGTGAAAACTGACATAAACTACAATGCTGGGATCTGAAGTGTTGAAGAAGGTGCAGAATGTCCTGTGAGATTAGCATTGTTCTCTACTTTATTAGGAAAGAAGAGCCTGAATTTTAATCAAAGCTTGCTTTTGTGTTTTATCTTATGGATATGTTTGAGAGTTGAATGAGAACAAAGCATGGTGCTTGAAGCATCTGTTCATATATGTAATAAAAGTGGCATGTTAATCTTAATATTGTACTTGTAAAACATGAAATCTTGTTCTCTTTCGTTATTTGTTTCTTTAAAGGTAGCTAGTATTGAAGAACTTGAAGCTTTTATTTATGCCTGCGCCTAGGGCTATTGATATGAGCATGGCTAGGTTGCATGAAAAGAACAAGAAAAGCAAGGAATATAACTAAACTTACCCACTAACAACCTGATGTCATTAATCCAATCATAAAATTGGAGCAGAGAAACATCAAAGAAATATGAAAAATTTTGTGGAAAGTAAGCAAATTGTGCTTTAAGTTTCCCCATTTATAAGCTGAGGAAGCCCAATATGCCACTGGCCATACATTGCAAATCATTCACTGAGCCCCCAGACCAATTGTGTCCTGACATGTGGAAAGTTCTTAGGTATGTTCCATTCCTTTTTTGATAATGATTTTTTGTATTTGGTCCCTTAATTTTGTATGATTTTTTTATTTATTTAATTCATTTCTCATTTTAAATCTATTTTTTATCAAATTTGAACCACATGTTTCTCTATTGCTATAAAATACATATCTAAATTTAATTCTTACTTTTAAATATAAATTTATTTTTTAAATTTATCCCTTAACTTTGTATTTTATTTAATTTGGTTTTTTCATTGTAAATTTTTTACAATCTTTCTTCTCATCAATCCATCGACTTTTTTATACTTCCATCAATATTTTATCTTCAAAATAAATTCTTTAAAAAATAATATTATAAATATATTTATAATGTTAGATTGAATTTTATTTATCAAATAACATTACAACATGGAAAAGAATATGAATAACTATAACTAAATTTGCATAGAGAAAATCGATAAATTGAACTAAATTTGTACCAAAATATTATAAATAATTATAATTAAATTTATATAGAAACTTAAACAATTCAACTCAATTTTCTTTTAAATAAACCTCTTATCTCGACTGATAGAATGCTCACCCTTACCCAACAACTCTATGTCCACATCTACACGGATGAACTGCCCATATCCGCCATCTTTTCTAACCATCAACAATTAACCTAATCCATCATCTCATATCTTGACCATCAACAGATATCCTTGTATCTCATCCTAACACTTGGTAAATGATTTGTTGACTGGTTTTTTAGGAGAAGCACAAGTGGTAAGGTGTAACGTTGGCTGATGTATGTAGAGTTATAAGCATTATTTCATAAGACTCTTTTAGTATAATCCGAGAGAAGCAAACTTACTTTTGGCTTTACTATATACATGTTTAAATAATAATAATAATAACATAGAAGAAGAAACCAATTGCAGCAAATACTGGTTCGAAGGTGTTGGAGACAGGTGGCTTCTCTCATCAAAAGCCATTTACGTTTAAATTAATGGTTTCATTCAACAAATAAGAAAATAAGAACAGTTAGTTCTCTAATAAACAATATGGAGAAGCCATTAATGATAAGATCAAGTAAAAAAATATGCTAAAGAAACAACCAAATCCTCTTGCAAAAACCAATACATAATAGCAATTATCCCAACTCTCCTTTGGGGTTTGGTTGTTGCCAAGATTAAGCTTATTACATTTGACCCTATTTCTTGGAGAGCATTGCAAGGAAAATATAGTTTATAACAATGCTAGCAGAGAACCAGCTTCATCTGAATCTTTGACCCTATTTCTCAAAGTCTCAATTCTACACTGAATAATTATTGAGTTGCGGAAAAACAGAACTGCCACTATAATAACATTGTATGAAGTTCCTTATTTGCAAAGGATTAGCTAGGATGTGTTGCCACAAGTGCAGCTTGGTCAAATGGATAAAATCTCACTTGATGTTGTATGCCCTCTTCGCTGAATTGAGTGTGTTTGAAAGAAGCATTGCTATCGTCATCGGACCAACTCCCCCAGGAACTGGAGTAACAGCTTCAGCAATCTTGCAGGCCTCCTCATAACAAACATCTCCGACTAACCGGTATCCCCGTGGACTACTCGCATCCTTTTACATAAACAATATCACACACAAAAGAGGATATTATATGGGGATTGGGTAAGGAAACATGTAGATGGAAAACTCAAAAATGAAAAGAGGTAAAATGCCCACTAACCTCAACTGGATTTATTCCAACGTCAATAATAACAGCCCCAGGCTTTATCCAGCTACCCCTCACCATATTTGGTTGCCCCACAGCAGATATTATAATATCTGCTTGCCTTGTAATTTCCTCGGGATTCTTGGTTCTTGAATGGACAATGGTTACAGTAGCATCTTCTCTCTACAAACATCAAGACACTGTTAGAGGTAGGGAGGGGAAGAAATAATAATTTAAGCCTTGGAGGTTGATAGAAATGATTAGGACAAAAATAATTACTTGTAGTAACAGAGCAGCTGGCATCCCCACGATATTACTCCGGCCAATAACAACAGCCCTCTTTCCTTTAATATCAACACCGTATCTATGCAATAGCTCTATGCATCCTTTAGGAGTACATGGAACAAACAAGGGTTCTCTACCTCGCATGGCAAGACGACCAATGTTCAATGGGTGGAAGCCATCCACATCTTTCTCAATCGTGACAGCATTTAAGATGTTCTGTTCATTCATATGCTGATGGAAACCCATGAAGCAATATCAAGAGCCATATCAGTACCAAATGCAAGACAAACCCAGAGATAAACAACAAAATATGTCGACTCACGAATTTAGCAAAGGTCCTATTGTATGGACTTCTACTGCAGAATAAGACCGAGCCAGAAAAAAAATAAGCCAGTAACAATGGATTTTAACCATGTAGTAATATGTTGGCAAAACTCCTATTGGCAGACAACATAATGCATTAGCTAAAATAATTGCACTAGTTATATCAAATATTGCAATTTAAGTTGCTTAATTTCCCTAGTCCATGATTAGTTTCAACCATGCAAGCCCCATATACAGCATATAGTGTGATTCACACAAAGAAGATAAAAATGTAGGTTGTTACAAGTAGTTTAGAATCATACCGAAGGTAGAGGCAATTGAACAAGGATGCCATGAACCGAAGGATCACCATTGTAGTCAGAGATGAACTTTAGAACTTCTTCCTCAGAAGCATCATCAGGTAAATGCACTTCAAAGGAATTAATCCCTACAGATTCACAAGCTTTCTTCTTGTTCCGCACGTAAGTAGCAGAGTCCTTCCTATCCCCAACTAGAATAACTGCTAATCCAGGAACAACTCCAATTGCTTCCTTCAGTTTTAACACTTTAGCGCTTATCTCTTCTCTTATTTGCTTTGCCACGGCTTTCCCATCGATCACCTTAGCAGATGACTCTATAGCCATTGAAGCTGTATAAGAACAAACCAAAAACTACCTTAATGATCCCACTTTTATATGAAGATTTATGTGATCAAATATTTAAGTGCACATAATGCAGTCCAAGCGTTTGACGAAATGCGACAGTGAAAGAAAATAATAAAGAAAAAATATGTTAAAAAAAGCTTCTTAAAGAGAATAAGAACTTCCATACCGATGACGAAACGGGAAGAACGAGGAGAGCGGACGGAGAGGATTCGAGGAAGGGTAGGCGTGGGTGAGAAAACATGAAGTGGACCCACAAATCGGCGAAGGGGATTGAGGCCGTTGCTGAAACGGGTAAATGGGAGGTGGTGGACGGCGGCGGCCGACGAAGGATCAGTGAATATCATGGACGCCATGATACTGTTATGAGTCCTGGAACGGCGCTGCAGTAAGTTAAACGTTGCTTCGGTATTTAGGGCTTCACTAAAACGCAGAGATGACGGAAACGGAAGCTGCTTCTCAGCTTTTCACTTTGCAAGTAGGCTTGGCGGCGCGACTCTGTTCATTTCCTTTGTGTTTTTTTCACTTTTTTTTTTTTGGCGCTTCGGCTTTGCAAAAACAACAAATTTATCTTATTTTTATGGGTAAATTATGTATTTAGTCACATAATTATTTGCATAGTTCTATTTTGGTAACTTAATTATTATTATTTTTTATTAATTTAAGGTGATTATAAGGTATTACACGTTCTAAAATTTTTTAACTATTTGACAATGAAAACTTAAATATTCTTACAATCTCTGGTGCTTAAACCTGGATCTCTAGAGATAACAATCATCTTTTTAACTACTAATGTAACTTGATTGGTGCAATTTAATTATTTTTTTAAAATTATAGTTTCATTTTAATAAAATCTATTTTGGTAACTTAATTATTATTATTTTTTATTAATTTAAGGTGATTATAAGGTATTATACGTTCTAAAATTTTTTAACTATTTGACAATGAAAACTTAAATATTCTTACAATATCTGGTGCTTAAACCTGGATCTCTAGATATAACAATCATCTTTTTAACTACTAATGTAACTTGATTGGTGCAATTTAATTATTTTTTAAAATTATAGTTTCATTTTAATAAAAAAATCCACATTAGTAATTCTGTTAATTTTCTAATATTAAATGACCAAAATAAAATCAAAACATATCGTTAAGTACGATTTAAAAAAATAATTAGATAATTTAAACAAAATTGTATGAATAATTAAGTGAATAAATATGTAATTTACTAAGTTAATCCTATCAACTCATTTTCATTCTCTTTTATCATAGAATCCCCGCTCAAGCTTTGCAAATCTTTCTTTTAAGTTGTATCAAATAAAACTTTACAACAATTAGCATAAAAAATGAAGTAATATAAACTTATAATATAATTCTTCGAATCCAATGATTCCAGATAATCAACTTGCTTTTCATCTGTATTGTTTTCGAGTTACTTTCTTCCCAACACGTTAACAATACCTTGACCAATCTTGTTGATAAAATATATAAGAAATAGAGATTAAATGTATAATTATATTAATTTTTATTAATTATTAAATTAATGTCATTAGCATTTAACGATAAGAAATTTGTACAAATCAAGTGACAACAGTAGATAAAAGATGATTATTGTCCCTATAGATTCCAAGTTCAAGCATAAGGTCTACATATATGTTTGGATATTTATTGTTAAATAGATTTAGATATATCATATTTAAAAGAAGTATTTGTATTATTTCCCTAAAAAAGCATAAATAATGGGTATTAATTTTTCTAAAATGTGTCAATTATATGATGTTAATATTAATTTAAATTATATTTATTTTATTTTTAATATTTTTATATAAAATTTTTACATAATTTTCCCCCCAAAAATTGATTGCATCTAGAAAAGCTACTCTTTATGCCACCACTTCAAGCTACGAAACAAACAACAGAAATCTAGTGTAACAAACAAATTAAAATCATGCGAGATATTTCAATGCTCCTATCCCGAAATTTCAACCACATTCCTTCGCTTAACTTCCCTGAAATTGCCATTGTAACAAAATGCGAACAACGACTTAAAGAGAAGGTTAAACAGCTTGTTCTCAGCGAAAAGTCCACTATGCATTTGCTTCTACCCCATTTTGGTCTATTTATGTACGACTTGCAACACCGGGGCATGAATTTATTCTATACAGTTACCTCCCATTTTTCTCTCTTATTTATTTTGTGGCAACGGAATTACCTGTCATATTGCCAAAGTTCCTTCAGTAGAGTGGTTTTCATCTGAAGAATCTAACGGTTGAGTTTTGGATTTACTCTTGACTCCAAAAAAACCATAACCAAGAGAACATCCACTAGCTTGGCATAGCTGTCAAGAAAACACTTTGAGATGTCAGGTGTGAGTGGCCGTCTAATTAGTTGGTTAGTTCAGTGTGTAATAGTTGGTGATTCAAAAAAAATTGGAGTTGAGATCCAGACCATTTACTTTTCTTCCATTAATGTCTAATCATCACCATTCAAATGTGTAGATCCATGCATGAATGAATTGTGAAAGTCGTTCTTGTAAACGATGATTAAACTTGTATTGAATGCTAATGGATGCAAAAGTAAGGTGGGAGGGAGTACTACCTCTGTTAGCTCTGCAAGGTGGCGGGACCGAAATTCGTTGATTGTCGAAACAATCTCCGATTCCGATAGTTTAGCCTTCACCATAAAGGAATGGGATGTCAATAACAGAATATCAGCCGAAGCATCAGAATAATAAATGTATAACATTTTGCTTGAGGAAAAATGAACAACAGATTAAACTCTCTGTCCATATCAGATTAGCAATCACTTCTTGGTAAATAACAATCATAAACTGGTTCTAAACAAGTCGGTCAGGATTCTGATACCTGTGCAAGAACAGCGGCGACCAACTGCAGACTTGGTTCCAAGGTCTCCGGCACGACCTATGCTCAAAAGCCAGAAGAGAATTATAAAGAAACTCTAGAAGAAGAGAAAAATCACACAGAGGAAATGAGAGGAGGATTAAATTAGAAAGCATCAGTAATATTACAGCCGTTGCCCCAGCTTTTTCCAAAATAAGGCCATGATCAACATCATGAGCCTGAGCGAAAGTCTTCACGTTAGGGAAATACTTGCTCAGAGCCCAGACAGTTCTGCAAGTGGCACCAGGAGTATCCAAGGTTATTGTTGCAGCAGACGCTCTTTCAGCACCAACTTTATGAAGGACCTAGTCTCCCAATATTAAGAAAGTCAAATATTGATCCACAAATAGAGCCTACTTCAAGCTAATTTTGCTTACCTCTTGACTAGCAGCATCTCCAAAATAAATAGGAAGATCCAGTGCACGCCCCATGGCCACCATATCGCTGAAAAAGTGAGAATTTCTGTATCTTACCATGATTGATTGATGGGCTTTAGATAAGCATTTCAAAGAGTAAGGCCCCAGGTTCCCTTCACCCGGTAGCCAACATTCATCATGTATTTACATCAATCTTTCTAATTCATAGTCATGCACATACAACAGCAACCGGATATTTAATGTTATACAAATACATTGCATAAATTGGATAACGAAAAAATATTCATGAGTTATGAGCCAGTGTCATGGAATAATTAAGTTGGTTATAAGGATATATGCCCTAGCTTAAGATGATGGAGTTAGATGTTGCAAAACCACACCAATTATCGATAATTATTTGAACTTTAAAACCGTTAATAAAGAAATAAAATTTCAGGTTACCTTCTAACATCAAGAGCAACAAATGGAATTAGCAGTTCTGAAAGAAGCTGAGCTATGATCTGAAAACACTCAAAATGAAAGAGAAGACATGCCATGGTTACAAACATATTTATACCAAAATCTCAAATTAAAGGGTACAAGTATATAAAATATAAACACCTGCCCAACCCGTCCAAATCCACAGATGATGACGTGATCTTGCAAATCATCAGTCTGTAAATAAAACCAAGTCAAAGAGACAGATTACCAAGTAATCAGCTATCCCACTACATCAAGAATCAGATGCTTTGACGTATTGCAAAGAGTTGTTGAATACAAATATATATTGCCTCCGGTATTTTATAATATACACATTAAATGAACTTTAGAACTGATGAAAATCTAAATAATTTTATGGAAAAAACAATTAGCTTTCTTTCTATAACTTCTTGGGATCTATATATCATTCATGCATTTGGAGAATCATGGCAAGGCTGCTTTAGTAAATGGTACTCGTACTCTTCATTTTTTTTGAAGTATTATGTCTCAGATATAAATATGGGGATATGACCTCCAAGGGTCCTCCGAATAAATGGAAAACCTTAGAAAAATTCTAACTATACCCTTTCCAAATACATATATCTAACACTCACACCTAAGTCCATCCAAGTAACGTAGGCTTTAGTTATTTACAAACTGCTGAGGGGAAGAAACAGAAAACTTTGCAAACCTAAAAGGAGTCGTAAGTTAGACATGTTACCTCACTTTCAACAGGCAATAAACTCCTAACATCGTACAGCTCAAAACGAGAGGCAATTAACTGACCTCCAGCAGCAAGCCATGGTGTGAGGGCCATTGAGATCCCCACAAGAAGGAACAACAATGAAGATAGTTGAGAAGACATTATACCCTGCCAATAACACCATTTATACTTGCACGAGCAATAGGACATTTCATAATTAACACAAAGAAGTTGGATTAGCAATATTTCAATGGTGATTTAGCAACAAAATATGGCCATATACATGAGTCATGAATACTAATGAATACAACAAATCATAATAAAATAAACATGTGACACGCAAAGGAGAAAATCAAAAGTAAAATCCAATAGCCAAATAGATTAACTAAAAATTTAGAAATGCAGGATAAAGAGAAAGACAAATAGGATAATCTCATGAAGTCATGATGAAATGGTGTCCATTAATAAGGAGACAAACCTGATTAACAGCTTCACCAAAAGCTACAAATGCGAATTCTCCTCCTGGAGCTAGAAGAAGACCAACCCTTATAGCAGATATGATTGAAATACCAAAAAGTTTACCAACAAATGCCACCAATATAATCTTTCCAACAATTAAGAGTCCTAATGACCCCAAAACAACAGGGAAATTTGAAATAAGAAGCTTCGGGTCAATGGACATGCCAACCTGAAAACTCATTAAAAAGTTGCCATCAGTTCCACATGCTTGATGTCTTGATCGTCAATATGTGGCAGTACCAATAACTTAAACCTAATAGAAGCCAATTGAGCAAGTGTTCTCACCCTCCAAACCAAGTAATGTAATAAATTATGCGAAGATTTGATACAACCACCTCTCCCAACGATTGTCTCACTTCCAACTATGGCATTAAATTATCCTCTACTGTAAGTTAAAATAACAAATCTTGGTAATATGAATTCTATAATATTCGCACTAAATGACATAAAAAAATATGTTTTATACTCCTTGCAGTTTTCTCACCAAAAATGACCTTGTGTACAAAAACAGAACACCAAAATAGGTTCTGCAAATGAAGCAAGAATGTAATTCAAAGAAACACGCATCTAATCTTTGCATATTATGGAGATGCCAACAAATAAAATACCGTCATGAAGAAGAGACCCAATAAGAGGCCACGGTATGGGGCAATATCCGATTCAACCTGCAAAGAGAATTCAGTCTCTGCAAGAAGCAAACCAGCTAGAAATGCTCCCAACGCCATGGAAAGTCCAGCCTGTTCAACAAAAGTAAAAGAAAAAGGAAGCATCTAAGGTATTATTATAACTACCATAAAAGAAAGAAAAAAAATCAAGAACAAGTATAGTTTTCAATACCCCAGAAGTTAGTAGACTTGTCCCTAGAATAATGAGGAGAGTATTGGCAGAGAATATTTCTGGATTTTGATTTTCAGATATTTGCTTATAAATTGGTCGGAGCAACTGTAAGAAAGAATAAAAGGTATATAAGAACCAGCAGATGCTGTGTTTCTGAGGCATTACTCATATAGACAATCTTAAGTAAAATTTCAGAAGATTAAGGGGTCAAATGCTTCCTGGCAAATACAATCAGTATATTAGATTCATCATTGTGCATATCAGACCTCATAGAAATTCAGTTACCTCCACTGTGATGATACTGCAGACATCCGACCAGGATATATTCAAAACTTGATAGACTTTTTTTTTTTAAGTTTCTTATCAATCATAAGTTAACAGACAATATTGAGGTCAGAATTTATGAATGTCTAGATATAAAACTTACCAACCGTCCACCAGCAATAATTGCAGTGATGCCAACTGATGCCTTAACAGCAGCCAGTCCGAGAGCTTCCACAATGGCTCTAAAACCAACCTGAAAACCAGGAAAAAATACATTACTCAAAAGTGCCAATATAAGATGTAGAAGAAGTACCAGCTAATAACATAAAAGCCAAGATTTGAAGAAAGCACAAGCTCCCTTAACGCAAATTAGTGGAGTAAGCTGCACAGAAAAAACCCAAACAGAAATTAAGAAACCCTAGGGTGATTAAGTAACTGAAAGCCTTTTCTTAATAAAAGCTTAAGAAACCAATCATCGAAATATGAGTCCTAAGTAATCTTTAAGGTTGATTTCAGTATTACAACAATGAACTTAGATGCGTGTAAAAGCAATGTAAGAACCTTCAGTATCAAATGAAGAACAAAAAGGAAAAGCAAAGATGAATTTATTAGAATTTAGAACACCTTACCCCTCCTTTTGATGAATTTGGGGAGATAAGAGGTATGAGTATAAGCAAAACAACAACAGCCAAATCCTGGAAGAATAGACAACAATCAACAAAAAATTTGCAACAACAATCATCTAAATCAACTAAATGCCAAGTAAAACTTGAAAGACAAACAAAGGATCACAAACACATCAAGTGGGTATTATATTTGTCATGATTGATAGTTTATTCTAATCATTCATAAATTATTTTAAACACATCGGGAGCTAGATGGCATAAGGGCATAGATAATTACAACATCATGTTGAGTAGATTTCTAATTTCATCCTTTGCTAACTTAAAAGTAGAGATGCCAGATTAAAAAATGAAGAGGGGGAGAGAAAATTTAAAAAATGGAAGAAAAAAAGTGACACGTGAATCAGTTATGAAGATACATTTGGATAAATCTGCAGGAGAATTATTATCACAGACTGCATAATTCAATTCAAAAGAAATTGCATCCTGGAGCCAATCCCTATTCTCGGGATCATAGGATAACCTGAAAAAGCAAGACAGAAAATGAAGCACGTCCGTGGCGGGAAGTACTCTCACCTCGCTCCTGTAATACCTGCAAATAAAGATAGCAATTACATGTCATTCTAGACATGGGGTTTCAATATCTTCTCTGGTAAGTATGTTATTATAAAAGGAAATATGTGTGTGTGTGTGTGTGTATAAATAACTGATTAACTCAAATCTGTTGCAATCAGGTCATATCATACTATATCAAACTTATTAGTGGAATCGTAGAGACATGGAAAGAAACCAATTTATCTTCTAGTTTCAAAGATTTTAAGATACTGCAGATGAATATAAGAGGAAAAATGAATGTGTAACATATTCAAGAAGAGCCCTTTTGCTGTAGGAAGCTTGTCTCACAAACTTTATTGGTTTCTTCATATTGGTACTGGAGTAGTAGTGTAATTTAATGCTAAATTTAATGAAGTGTAAAATCAGTCTACTTCAATTACCTGCAAGACAACAGCAGTTGAAGATAATGCCAGGCCATTCCCAATCACTATTGCTGCTGGACCAGGCTGCCCAGAAATAAAATGAGCAACAAGGCCAACTGCAACGGATGTCACCAAGACCTACATCATATCGAAGTATAAGTTACAAGAAATCTGTCAAATACAAGAAACAATAATACAAAATTTATTTTCTCAATTACCTGGGCAGAGCCTAATCCGAAAACATATTTCTTCATGGAACTTAACCTTTCAACAGATAGCTGCAAAAAACAAAATAAGGGTTCAGATTAAAAATCTTCTCATGATGGAGATTCAATATAAAGCTAGAAACATGGATTTAAATAATAAATTCCACCTCAAGGCCGATATTGAACAGCAAAAAAACAACTCCAAATTCAGCAATTGCTTTGGTCCCATGCACATGATGGATTATGGATAGACCATATGGTCCAATCAAGATGCCAGCAGCCAAATACCCAAGAACAGGGCTGCCTAAAATTTGAAGCAGAAAGAAGACAAACATCAGCTTACACAAAATTGCAGAAGAGGAAAAAGGAAAATAGAACAAATAATAATGAGCATGAAAGAAAAAAATAAAATCTAGTGTAGAGACCATGAGGAAACGTCTTACAAAGCAAACAGAGAATTCAAGCATTAGCTCCAAAAATCTTCACAAAAATTCACGAAGATCAAGCATTTTTTAAGAATGTCATATCAATGCAACACAATCAAATTTGAACTACGGGATACAGATTTGTTACCTCCAGGAATTTTCTGAAATATCGGCACAAAAATTACACTTGCAAGAAGTAACCACAGCATATCGTAGACAGAGGCCTCCTCCTCATTCATCTGGGAAATTCAAAACTAGAAATAAGCTGCTGACAAGAAGCCATATAGTGTAGGATTAAGATTAAAAGAATCAAATAGAAAATTAATAAATGGTGTAGGATCAAACACCTCTTGATGAGGAAGCATTGCAACTAGTTTTTTTAATCTTTTAGGAAATTTCTGTATTTTTTGGATCAGAGGCTTTGCATTTGCAGAAACTTCTATTCTAGAGGTAATGGCCTCTGGCTGCTGCAGCAACTGAGCACTCCTCTCTGCCTGGTTAGCATAGAAAGCAACCCTGTGATCATAGGCAAGCAAACACTTTTTCATCACAATTTCTTACAAAAGGAATTTTACTGATAAAATACAAAGTCATAAGAATGGCCCTTTTCAGAGGATTTGATTTCTTGTTTGCATTATAGTCAAACAGTGAAGGGTTTATGGCTAAACTTTTAAGTAAAGCTGACATGATCATATCATTATAAAGAAACACATCTTGTTTCTACAGCTTCCATCAAAAACTGAAGTTAATCTTATATGACATTTGAGTCAAGAAGCAGGAACTCACCAATGTTCAATGAATACATACCAGAATTTTATGGAAGAGTGATATTGAAATTAGTTCATGAAACAAGGTAGTAACTTTCAAAGCATACCCAGCTCCAAAGAGAAGTAATCCTACAACCAGCTTAGGAATTTGTTTCCTTGCAGACTCCATAAGACCCTGGGCAACTGATGCTGGCGTGAGCTCTTTCCTATCAACAGTCAAATTAGAAAGAGACTTTTCAGCTCTTTTAAGGGCAATCTCAGCATCATTCACACGCTTTATAGCCTCAACTTCAAAAGCAACAGCTTGCTCTGCTAAAAGCATGATATTTGCAACATCTTCCTCAGCTTTCAAGGCATCCATCTGTGAGTTCTCGGCAACCTTATTCAATCTCTCTACTTCTTTCTGCCAGTCCTCCTTTTTACTCCGCACTTGTCTTAACTCTGCTTCACAATTTGCCAACTTCCCCTGGCATTTTCCAATCTCATATTGTGCGGCCAATAGCGCTCCATTATCTTCCCTAACATCCATTTGAACATCACTCTTTCCATAACTTTCTAGGGAACCATTTCCCTTTTCCAGAGGTTCAACCAAGTCTACTTCCACCTGTAGCCTTGCCTCAGCTAAAGATAGTGCCATTGTTGCTTTTTGAACAGCCTCTTTAGCAATATACTCTTCATTGACAATGTCTTGGATCACATTAAGCGTGCTACTAACATCATTCCAAGCTTTAGTTGCTTTGTCCTTCAAGGCTATTGCGGCTTCTGATATTTTTTGAACCTTTTCCTCAAACATCCTACTGTTAAGATGAGCCACTTCCAATTCCCCCATTGCCTTCTGCACCAATTTCCTCAACACATATACAGTAGGTGTTTTCACTTGACCATTTAGATTTCTCACCTCTTCTACTAGACCATTGGATACAGAATTACTTGAACTATCATCATTACTCTCAGGAAATTCCACATTCCGACCATTCCCATCAGTACACGCTAAAGACTCATTACCTTGGCAATGCGATCTAACTCCTCTTACTATGAATACATCAGGTAAATCATAAAAAAATGAGGTAGCCAAATACGTTCTGCACAAAGGATTATCAGAGTTTCCTTCAAAAATCAAATTTGAACTTAAACAACTACTATACTCCATGATTCTCCTTATTTTCCTCAGGGAGCAAGTTTTTGATCCATGCTTGGGATAGAAAACATTGCAATTGAAATTTCTACATCTAAACCTATGACATAATGGATCCAATATCATATTTCTAATACCTTCACCTCCTTGAAAGCCAGTGGAATGCTTAAAACAATGAGTAAAATCCATCTTTCTCTACCACACCGATCTTTTATTCTTGGCAAGGCATTTCAAGCACTCACATTGACGGTTTATGAAACACCTGGCAAATCAATCAAAGTATCAATGAATATTGAATACATCCTTGCAGCCTTAGAACAGTGATCCAAAACATACTTTTATACAATAACGTATACTTTATACGTCTACGATGAATATGCGTATTCGTAGAAATTACGTAGTTGTGTATAAAAATTGATAAAAAGTGAAGCGAGAGAACTGACCGATCAAAAATCAGACGAAACGTAGGAAAGATGCGTAGTTTGAGAGGAGAAACCAAAGACGAGAACAGAAAAAAAAACAGAAACAAAAAACTGATAAACAATTTAACGTGGCCTTTTTTACTCCTGTTTCCTTTCTTTTATTAATTGACAACTCTGTTTTACTTTCTCTTTCATTTTTCTCTCTGTATTTCCCATTAAGAGGTTGTAACTTAGAAATTTTCAAAATCTCTGTATTTCATTTTTCTGTTTGGGAACCGGGAAAGAGGCGCGGAAAAAAATACACGAAGGAACTAAGGTGATCGACGGATATTCTTTCCCTTTGGTGATGATTTGAATTTACAGAACTGGCCTTCTTTTTAGGAAGAACTTAATTAATAATTTAATATGGTAGAGTCAAAGCAGTTTCATTTTTTACGCGTGTGAGGTAGTTTTTTAATGGTAAATGTATGCGTCATCAAATTATTTTTTTCTGCAAATTTGACTAAATTTATATATTATATTTTGCTATTACTTGAAACATTTTGCTGATGAATTAGTGTTTAAAATTAACAGTGATGTTAGTAGACATCATTAAAATATAATTTTATCATATCCCGATTAGCAGGTTAATGTTCAACTCGGACGAACGTAAATCTTTCAACCCAAAATGACAGTTTTAAAACATATAAATAGTCATTTTGTAACTTTTAATAGTCAATGAACTCAACAAAATAACATCTTATAGTCAGAAGACCATTTTAATAATCATGAAACTCAACAAAATAACTTTCTATAATTAGAGGACCATTTGGGTACGTTATCCTATATTTTTTATTAAACTAAAAAGAAGTCCAAGACAATAGGCTACATAGGAGTATGATCTTCCTGTTGCATCGAGTCCGCGTCCAAGGCCAGTAGACCAACAAATTCTGTCGGGGGGAACATCGTAACGATCTAGCTGAAAGTGCAGCGGCAAAGCCAATGAGCATCGTACCAACAAGTTCTGCCGGGGGAGCATCGTACCCTAATAATTATATTAAGCTTCATTGGCATATAATACAAGCAGGAAGTAATATTCAAATGTGGAAGTTTTCCATAACTAATCAACAATTTATCCAACCCCAATGAGCTGAATTTTCATTCTCTGTATCCTCGGCATATAAACTTGTAAGGCCATATTTGATTATATCACACAAACTTTTGGTAAACGATTCCATAGATTTCTTAACATCAAAAATTACAGAGGTAACACGACATGTTGACACAATATAAGATCCGAGATGCACTTTCCATGGCGATCGATCCTCCGTGAGCAATTGACGCCACCATCAAGAATGTTTCGGACCACGACATTTAGAGACTGAATTCCTTCAACTTCATATATTTCCACCTTAACATCATCTTCATTCACCCCTTTCTCTGTCTCATCAATGGCCTTTGGAGATGCATCCAGAAGGACCGAGACTACACCCTTCACCCACTGGGGTGTTATGATAAGCTTCAGTTTCCCAAAGTCCTGAGGGAAGTGTGGGATGATGGAGAAATTCAAATCGTTTCCTTTGTCTCCAGCCCTACTGTGGGCTATACTATAAAGCGGAACCTTTTGCCCAGATGAAACTGCTGAAAAGTCGATTTCTGATGAAGAACAATATAGTCCGGTTTTTTGCATATCTTCTTGTGGAGATGGTGTCAGTGCTGGTTCATTCGAAATGCAGGCCTTAGTAACATCTGCAAAGACATGTTCCTGATGTTTTAATTCACCGACTTCGGTTTGTTTTGCCCCTATCTTCCAGAAAACATGTTCGCGACCAATCTGAGTGGAAATAAAACAGATTACAGAAAGTGATCGTCATTTTATTGAAGTTCTTTGCATAAGCATATCTGAAAATGATTGAATCGAGTAGATCAAAAAACGAAATGATGGCTTGATTACAGTTTTAAGTTCAACACTATGGACTGCATGGACTAAGAAATTAATTAGATGAAAGATGGGAAATGGGAGAATACCAGTTGTTTTTCCAGAACAATCTCCTTCTTGACAGCGGAGCTGCATGAGATGATAAACAGAATCATCTAGGTTAGACACAAAAATCATCGAGCCAACAAAAAAACTCACAATCATTTGGAATAATCCATAACCAGGAAACTTTATACATGAACTATTAGCATTTAATTTTTTGTACATGTATATCATAGATGTAAAATTAGAAGGAAATATACCTGATACCACCACCACCAGCCGGTCCATTTGTATATAATGCAGTAAACTCTTTAACAAGTTGCTGTGCGTGCTTCTTCTCTTGGAACAGTCCATCCATGCGTAGCCGAATATCTTCACTAGCCCTCCATGTTGATAGATAATTATTGATGCTGGTAGCTTTCAAGCTATCAAGTCCGATAATATAAGAAAGAATATGTGAGCTGGCACCGGGAATTGTCTCTTCCATCCATGATCTAACCTAATATATAAACAAAGAAAAGTGATATCAAGAGCCCAAAGGAAACAATGAGAAAAGTATTTCAATTGCATTTAGAGACAAAGATCAATCTTAAATAATGTCATTCGAAATCAACAAAGTAATAAACCATCAATTCTTTTTTACATCAGACTTACAAGAAATTCAGCAGCTTTAGCACGTTTAACACATTCATATCCTCCATATGATATCTCACCCCATCCTTTCCATCCACAGTGCTGGAAACAAGATAAATTAGTTAGCACAGAAACTATCTTAGGATACATTAAACCCAGTAGATCTGTGACTAGAAAAATATTGTGATAACTGGGTGGCGTGGGGCACTGCAACGACGAATAACATCACTCAGACACAAAAGAAAAGAGAATAATGCTTTGTCGAAATACCTACAAGCCATCTGCTGCACAACCGAAGCTAAGATAAAAAAGAAATTCCAAGTTATAAGCTAAATATTACCTTCAGAACTGAAGGTTACCTTTGGAATTAACTGCAGAAGTTTATCAGGAAAGGGATGAGCAGAAGGCTTTGCACCACTACAGAAAACTTTAGAGCTAGATAGTGGCTGGAATGAAACACCCCGAAAATCAACTACCTGCAGTTACAAGAAGCCTATTTTTATTTAGTTTTCCCTTTCAATGCAGTACAAATTTCCAAAAATGAAATTCAACTTACAACATCAGGTGTAATGTAAGCACTTGGATCTCCAACCTCGTAAAGTAGTTGTTCTGCACAAGTACTGAAATTTAAAATCCCGCCGCTACCTTCTGTCTTCATGATGCAGACTTCCCCACTGAATGAAATCTCAGCATAGGGCAACGATAGATCCAGGAGATTTGTGAAAGACAAGTTCCGATGCTTGTCCGCTAGATTAGAGAAAATGTAGCACATTGAAGCCGAGTCAATTAGAATTCTCCATTTAATCAACCTATTTCCCTTTTTATTATCTAGACAAACAAAGTGTAACTAACCTGGATGCATGAAGTATCCCCCTGTGAGTTGACAACCACACTCTAGAAGGTGTCCAGCCACAGATCCCTGCGCTAATAGCTCCAAGTCATCCCAATTCCAGCCTAGTTCATACACCTTTATCATATTCCAACAAAATTGCAGCACAAACTGTTAAATATAATCATGATAAACTAAAGTATAGAATCATAATGGCTGATAAGGAAAACAGTTTTGATGTGCAAAGTCATTAAAACATAGAGAATTATACCAAGACTACAGAAAAGGAAACCTAAAGCCAAGTAATGAGAAGAAAGGTTATATTTTCATACCATTGGAGCTAAGAATAACGCAGCATCAGCAACCCTTGAAGTAATTATAACATTTGGTTGGTATCTCTCCAGACATGCAACTATTGGGGCTGCTCCCAGATATGTGCTAATACCCTGCAGAAAATTGAACAAAATGAAGCTCAAGAGTTTGCGTTCCTCATCAAATTTCATGACTAAAGATGGAAAAATGCACATGCAGTTGAAAATCTGATCATAAATACTTTTCACCTAAAACCGTAAAGAAGATGCAATTAAGTCCATTGAATGGTACATGCAAGTAGTGACATCAGATTCTTACACCTTCCATAACCAGCTTCTCAGGCAAAGATCCTGAACCTGAATATTTTTAAAATATTTTTCATTTGGAGTCAGAGAATGTTGCTAAACACAATGGATCAAACTTATGGATTGCACTCAACTTATATTCCTACTATATTTCCTAAAATAAAGATCATGCATAATTATCATCGGAACTCACCTGCATAATTCGCCTGCATAACTACCATAATTTAGAAGGGGCTAAGCATACCTGATTCATTAACAAAGGTCTCATGAGCCACAGCAACTGACACACAAATCCCAAGGCTGCTGGCTATTTCTAAAACCTTTTCTCGAGCACCAAGTGGATCCACTATACAGAAAAGAATCAATAATCAATATGAAAAGAAAGCATCAAAGACAAAATTAAACAGCAGGAGAAAGTATTTTGGTGAAATTTGTTAGACAAACTTAGCATCTGAAACATTGTTTTCAAATTCTCATACTTGCACCCATGTTGGTAATTATACAAATTCCTCTATCCACAGCCAAAGGTAGTAGCAAAGACATCCATTCTGAAACTGAAAATTTTAACAATTTAGAGAAAACCCAAGAATAAAACATAAATAAGTTTGAATTCAAAACAACTGAAAGCAACATTAGCATACTATTAGAGTCGTAGCCATCACCGCCGGAAGCCATAGCTTGATATCGCTCAGCAAGAGTACGTTCCGCTAAACATTCAAGAACAATATAATTAATCTCTTTGACTCTGTTAAGCAACTTCAGAGCTGCCATTGGCCGATCACCGCCAAACCCAGCTCCACAACCAATATAAACTTTGTCTTTTCTTCTTTGAGGATTGATTCTCTGCAGTTTAACATACAATAATTCATACTCTGGAAAACTATGTTCGATATCTCATTCTAAAAACTGATAAAATTAGCTAACCTTCTTGATCAGGCAGTCATGCATCTCTTCGAAGCTCTGCTTTTCCATAGATATCTGTCTCACCGTCGAGTTTTCTTCTTCGGAGTCCTGACTATCAAACCGAGAAGTTCCTGATTAGAATCTGGAAAACGAAGTACGAGTTTTTGAAGATTATTTGGGTAAAACTAATTCTAAAGTCACTTAATTATGAATTTAGTATTAAATAAATTACTTTTTATAAATGGGTCACTTAATTAAAATATTATTATAAATATATTAATTGTTAAAATTAAAATAGACGTGTAATTTAAAATAATAAATAATATTTTTAAACTTCAAAAGTTATATACTTTATTAATTTATTTATAATTTAAAAAATTAAAAAATTAAATATTTTATATTTAAAAATCAAATCAATTTAATTTTTATAATACTATTAAATTAAACGAGCTAATCAATTATTAGAATAAATTATATCTAAATTACTTAATTATAAATAACAAATAAATCAATTTTATTCTGAACAATATAAATATATCAATTAAAATATTGTTATAAATATATTATTAGTCGTTAAAATATTAAAAATAATAAATTTTCTAAAATTTGAAAATTAAATTAAAAATTATATAATTTATTAATATATCATACCATTAATTTTATAAAAAAATTAAAATTTAGATAATTATTTTATGATAAATTAATAATATAAATAACCAAAACATAACTTTCAAAAATTAATTGATCATAAGAAAAAAATGATCACTGGTTTAGTTTATAGGAAATTAAAATAATATATAGTTAAACTATACCATTCATCATTAAATTATATCTATACTTTTATTTTTATTTAATTATTAAACTTTTAAATTATTTATATTTTAATCACTCCTAAATACGTTAGTTATTTTTAATATTATTTTTATTATAACATTTCATGTTTTATTAAATTTTTTGCCATATAAGATTACAATAAGAAATAAAATTTAAACCCTAAACTCCAAATCATATTTCTACTCTCAACCTAACAACTCCATCCTCACCAGCGTCACTCGCTTATCCACGAAATTGGGTTCTAAAAACAATCAGATGAAAATAACTACCGTCCTTGCTTGGATTCAACTATAGAGTACTGCAAAAAAATCTGTTAAAATTACGATAGGGAAAAATATATTCTTAATCATCGTTGTCGTGAGTGATTGAATCAACAAAAGAATCAAATCATCAATGCTATTATTATTGCTAGGATCCTTGAAGTTGCTTTTATTGTGCCCATTTGACATGTCGACGTGTAAGAGGAAGATGAAAGGTGATGTGATTACAATAACGATTAATTTGTGATTTATATATGATGAAACACAATTATCGTGCATGGTTTTCATTTGGGATTTTAGTGAATATTTATCTTTTGTAGAGGTAGAACACTTTTAAAAATATCTTAAGAATTAATATATAGATTCTATCTTCATTACCATCGTCTGATTTGGTTGTTAAACAAACCATCATCACACATTAAGCGGGCTATTATCAGAGTCAAAATTAAATATTGACATGAGTCGAAATATTAGACTATTTAAGAAAAATATAAAGACTTATTAGGTATTTAAACTCGAAATTCAACATGAATCAAACGACCTTAGTGATTAAGGGGTTGTTGTTATCCTTGAGGTCCCGATTTCAAGCACGTATATAGGGGTATGAGCATTCATTTATCAAATAGTTGAAAGTTTTTGTACATATATTATCTTGTACTCACTTTAAATAAAAAAAAACTCAAAACTCAAAAGACAACTTCTAATTTGTCTAATATTTAAACTTACAATTATTTAATTTGTAATTAGATAAAAATTTGACAACACATACTTATCATTCTTTAGTTCGACCCCTACTTAATTAAATATTTAATAAATTTTTATATTTTTAAATTTAAATATTTATTTTTACATGAACCAAAATACTATTAAATCAAAATTATATCGAATATATAAATTTTAGTAGGGGTTGGGGGTCCCTTGGGCCCTAAGGGAGCTTCGTCCCTAACTATTATAGCTTGTCGATATACGATGATATCGGTGAGGGTGAGTGACACCAATAGGGATTGAAGTGAGGGTATGATTTAGGGTTTAAAGTTTATTAGTTTGATTCTCGGTATAAATTTTATTTTATTTTATTTTAATATTATGTGGTAAAAAATTAATATTATATACAATGTCATAATAATAATAAAATAATATATGTTATTCAGTGATCAAAATAAGAATAATTTGAAAGTTTAATAATTAAATTGAAAATATATAAACTTAGGTGACTAAAATAGGAGTAATATAACAGTATAGTGGTAAATAGTGTAATTTACCCAAAACGTATTTGGTTCCTTCCCTCTGGACAACATTGCCCTCTGTTTTCATTCAAATTTACGATCCAACCTTCTACATTTCTCTTCGTTCAAACAAATCTAGCCTTCTTTGTTTTGTTAAAGGACGACCCTCGGTTTTCCCACTATTTACGGCGTTACCCCTTTGTAAGAGTCCCTAGTGTTTGATTGTTGTTTTGGTAGTTTTGTTTGGATTTTGGTTGTTTTTGGGGCTTAGGATTGTTATATGAATAGTAGAGGGAGGAATCCACCTCCGGGAATCGGCGTTGGCCGGGGTGGCGGAGTTAATGCGAACCCTAGTTTTCAGTCGAGGCCATCGCAACAGCACTACGTGCAGAGGAATTTGGTTCAGAATCAGCAGCAATTTCAACATCACAATCAGCAGCATTTTCAACAGCAGCAGCATCAACAGCAACAGCAGTGGCTCAGGCGTAACCAGTTTCCCGGCGGAAATGACACTTGTGTCATCCACGAGGTCGAGAAGACCGTACAAACGGAAGCCGTTGACTCAATGTCACTTTTGAATTTCATTTCTTCTCTCTTTTCTTATTGTTGTTTTTCATGTTTATGACGATTTTGTGTTTTCTATTGTATTATGTGGTATCATCTTTCTTCCATAGTCGACTGTTTTTCACCTTTTAAACGCTCTTAATGACTTCAGAAAATAGTTTTTAGGTTTTAAATTAGTTCTAAACTTCCCTTTAGGAAGGACTTGATGAGGGTGGGCGGAACTTATGTATTGCCTTTGTTGTTAATCTTGTAAAAATCTTCATAGCTCCTTAGAATGGTAGATGACGGATTGCCTCTTCATGTTATTCTGGTAATGCAGATGGAATACTCTTCTTTACTTCCAACTATCGTACAGGTTCATATACAATTATAAGTGGACAGTATCCAAAGTTCTTGGGGACAGTTATACCTAATTCTTCGATGTTGAGGCCTTCTAGTTTGAACTTACTTATTAAAGCGCCAGTTTTGGCTTGCATTACTTCTTCCTTGGAAGCATATCATCTTATTTTCGTGCCATATATATATCTCTCATTACAAGGCATGATAGAGGTGCAGGTGGTATTTGGACACATTTCTAATGTTATGATTACATGTTTATGCACTGAACTGCCTATTAAATTGCTGCCTGCCAGGATGTGACAGCTACCAAAGGAAATGAATTTGAGGACTATTTTCTGAAACGCGAACTTCTAATGGGAATATATGAAAAGGGTTTTGAAAGACCATCTCCTATTCAGGAAGAGAGTATCCCCATTGCTTTAACTGGAAGCGATATACTTGCTAGAGCCAAAAATGGAACTGGGAAGACAGCAGCATTCTGCATCCCTGCCTTGGAAAAAGTTGATCAAGATAACAATGTTATTCAAGGTTAAATCTCAATTTTTTTATTTTCTGTATATTCTTGTGTATATTTATTATTGGTTCAGTTAAATAGTAATGGGTACTGCAAATAGGATAACTTTGCCCATTCAGTTTTTTATTGTTCTTCTAGTTGCTTGATCTGCATGTAAATCAGAGGGAGAGGCATATTTGCTGAAGAATGTTAACTACTTAACTGAAATTTGAATTATGGGATGGATGGACATAGTGAAGTCAGGGTTCAAACTTTGTTTCCGTTCTTGAAGCCAGTCCATTTTGTATTCCTTTTTTTGATTAATCAATTTTGTATTCCTTGTTGCTATATAAGTGTTACTTTTGTGTTAGTACAGGGATAAGCATTTTCTTATTTTACATTAATTGCCCTTTCAGTTATTGTGTTTGCCCAAAATAAGTATTTTTGCACAGTTGTTATACTTGTTCCAACTCGAGAACTGGCTCTGCAGACATCACAAGTGTGCAAGGAGCTTGGGAAACATTTACAAATTCAAGTCATGGTCACAACAGGAGGTACCAGTCTCAAGGATGATATCATGTGATTGTATCAACCAGTCCATTTGTTGGTCGGAACCCCTGGCAGAATTCTAGACCTTGCCAAGAAGGGTGTTTGCATTTTGAAGGATTGTTCAATGCTTATCATGGATGAAGTAAGTATTTGATGGTTTCTATCTGTATTTTCTTTTTTCAGCTTGATTAAATTTACATTTTAGAATTTGAAGCTTTGTATTTGGCTAGACATGGAAGAAAGTTTATTTATTCTTTTTGTATCCTGTTAACTGTGATTTATGGTTGGCATCCTTTTTGGTTGGGTGAGATGGTGATAGGCTATGCTTGCCGCTTCTTTACAATTTGGAAAATTTAGCAATCAGTTGAAAAGTTTATTGGTTTCTTTTCAAAGGTCCTAGAAACAGTTTTGGTTGCATAATTTATTGGATTTTTGCTTTAAAAGTGTTAAATGTAATTGCAATTACTTATTTTATGTTGGTTGTATACTTGTACCCCATTATCCATACCTTAGAATTTTCTTTGGAAAATTCAACTGAATATGTAGTCACTGAAGGTGGTTGTAGAAGTGTCTTCAACCTTTCAGTGCGGATACTCTATTGGTCCCAGAGTGCCCATCTCTATTTTTCTGTAAAGACTGACCATGGTTATCTCCAGTTCCTCGTATTCCCTTTCATTTTTTATATTTTTAAAAATTTCTTATATTTACATAAATTCTAGTTTTGGAAGTAGAATTCTGAAGTGTTATTTCATTGGTATAACAATTCTTCGTATTCCCTTTCATTTTTTATATTTTTAAAAATTTCTTATATTTACATAAATTCTAGTTTTGGAAGTAGAATTCTGAAGTGTTATTCATTGG